TACCTCGTGGGCATTAATAATTGTCTTCCATTCCAAGAATCTGTGGTTTCACAACCGATACAACCATGGTCAGTCTCATCTTTTGTGCAGCCAGGGAAAAATTGTAGAGTGAGTAGTAACAGGGACAGGCTGCCTTTTGTCATGGCCATGTGGCAATGCTGGTGTGGAGTCAGTTCCTTGGTGGGAACAGTTTTACCCTGCACTCCATTGCATCAGGAGTAAATAAGTTGGCACTGAGGTGGACAGTGTTCTGTTGGTTTGGAGGCTTTGCTAAGACTGGTTTCCTGTGTGTTGTAGAGAGCATATGCTTCAACACCTGATACTTACATAAATTGATATTAAGAGGCTTGTTTAGATGCACTGTATTTATTGCTTTTTTTTAGTTAAGCCTGGATTGGAAAGGCACTTTTATGCTGTCACTTTTCCCTGACAGTTCTCATTGGGGGTCTCAGGTTAAATGCAGGAGGCAAATGTACAGTTTACCTGCGAGAAGTCAGTAGAGCTGCCCTGTGGTGTGGTGGGGTGACCCTGGCTGGATGCCATATGCCCACCAAAGCTGCTCTCACTCCCCTCCTCAGGTGGACAAGGGAGAGAAAATATAATGAAAGCTCAGGAGCTGAAATAAGGATGTCACTCATTGATTGCCATTATGGGCCAAGTAGACTTCACTTGGGGATATTAATTGAATTTACCACCAATCAAAATCAGAGCAGGTTAATGAGAAGTAAAGCAAGTCTTACAAACACCTCCCTCCTTCCCAGGCTCTCCCTCCTCCCCCCCAGTGCTGCGGGGAGATGGGAATGGGGGCTGTGGTCAGTTCATCACATGTTTCTGCTGCTGCTTCCTCCTCAGGGAGAGGAGTCCTTCCCCTGCTCCAGCGTGGGGTCTCTCCCACGGGAGACAGTCTTCCATGAACTTCTCCAGCAGGAGTCCTTCTCACAGGCTACAGTTGTTCACAAACTGTTCCAGCATGGGTCTGTTCCATGAGGTGCAGTTTGTCAGGAACAGACTGAGACTGCTCCAAAGTGGGCAATTTTAAGCAGTGTTAATTTTGTTTCTGGGTTGATTTTCTTTCCCTCTCTAATGTGAGCTGCCAAACCCACAGGCATTGGCACCACAGCTAAAAGAACTGCCATAGGTACCAGCAGCACTGCCAAAGCTTTGCCATGGCCCTACTTAGGCTGACACAGGCCTGTGTCCCAGCAGAGGCTGACACATACCAGCTGCTTCATCCCTCACCCATGGGCAATGCAAACCCTGGAAGTCTTATTTTTGCTGATGACTGCAGCTCTGGGGAATCTTTTTGCTGATATGTAGGGGTTTTAGGAGATATTATTAGGTTATTTAAATGAAACTGCCGTTGACACGAAAAGCTTAATGCAAAATCAGGGTGACTTCATTGTGTTGCCAGAAATACACACTCTGATAAAGCTTACCTGTAAAAACCAACGAGGATTAATGCATTGGTAGCATAGTGCTAACACTATAAATTAAAGTAACTTCTGTTAGTTAAGAGAAGGAGGAACCTCCCATCAAGGTCTCACCTTTCCCACCCAAGAGGACAGCACCTGGCCTTGTTCAGTTTGGATTCATTTGTGAATGAATACATTAATCACCAGTGACAGAGGCACAACCACTTACAGCACAAACACTTACTTTTTGCTATGTTGGCATGTGTAAACGTTCCTTAGCCAAGCTTCCCATTATCCTTGCCTCTGCTCTACGTGGTCATCTTGATCCCAAGAAGCAACAACCTGTATCCAGCACTGAGGGGGAGCTGCCAGGCTGCCTGCTCTGAGTATTCTCCACCAGTCTGCAGCCTACGGGATCCTCTCATCATCTCAAAATCGGAATGGTTGCAGTGGGCATGGCAGGGCCTTCAGGTCTTGCCACCATCCCTCTGCTGCTAAAGATTCACAAACAGGATTTTCAGAAGCAGCTCAGTGACTTAAAAGCATCAGTTTTTATTGGGTGTCAGTGGCAAATGTGCTCCCACAACATTTAGGCCCTTTGAAAGCTCTGTTCTCCAATCATAAGGCAGTCCATAAGCAATCATCTTTAGATCACCTCCTGTCTCAATTAGCAGTAATTAACAAGAACACATATGTCCCCGCATTGCAGAAGTGGCTAAAAATTGCATTGCCCAGAGGAGGCAGCTGCAGGATCAACACAATTCATCCTCTTTTTGTCCATGAAACTGTTAGGATCTCTCCAAGCCTGTAATCAGTCATCCATTTCTCCCCTTGATATGGCACCTGAGATTCAATATCCCACTTCCTCTTGTTCCTACTTGCTCACCCCAGTAACTGTGCTAACATAAGTCCGGGATGTGGGCACATAAAGACCTGAGCGCCCATTTCATGGCTCTTCCCTGCCATGGTGTGGCATCCCTACGGATGTGGGGATGCAGCACTCAAGCAAGAAGGAAGGGCGGAATGCAGGCCCTTGCCCAGCACAGTGCAGTAGCAAAGGTATGTGTGGTATGAGATGGGTGAGTTTCCTTTTCCACTTCCTTTCTTTGCTTTCTCATTTGCTTGTTTGTTTGCAGAGGGAATCAACAGTGGGACGTCATCGCGTGACTCAGAACTGGAGCCCCCAGTGCAGGCAAACAGCACTTTGGGCTTTCATCTGGCTGTGCCCCGGACCAGCCTGGCCTGTGACCTTTGCTGGGGAGTAAAATGGGAACCAGAGGTTTCCTTTTTGAAAAGGCATCGGAGAAGACACGGTACAGCTCAGTCCTAGCTCTTCCAAGAACAAAAATCAGCTGATCATACAATCACAAAACCACAGAATTGTTTGGGTCGAAAGAGACCTTTCAGGATCATCTAGTCCAACCTCCCTGCCACAGACAGGGACATTTTTCATTAGACCAGGTTGCTCAAAACCCCATCCGACCCACCCTTGGACACTTCAGTGATGGGGCATCCACAGCTGTCTCCAGGCAACCTGTTCCAGTGCCTCACCACTCTCACAGTAAAGAATTTCCTCCTTTTATTTAATCTAAATCTACCCACTTAGTTTAAAATCTTTGCCCTTTGTCCTGTTACTACAGGCCCTGGTAAAAAGTCTCTCTCTTTTTTTTTAAGATCCCCTTTAAGGACTGAAAAGCTGCAATAAGGTCTCCCTAGAATCATCTCCTCTCCCAGATGAACAGACCCAACTCTCTCAGCCTTTCTTCATAGGAGAAGTGTTCCAGCCTTCTGATCATTTTCATGGCCCTCCTCTGGTCCTGCTCCAAGAAATCCATGTCTTGTGCTGGGGGGTCCAGAGCTGAATGCTGTCCTCCAGGTGGGGTCTCACAGCAGCAGAGTAGAGTGGGAGAGTCACCTCCCTTGGCCTGCTGGTCACACTTCAGATGCAGCCCAGGATATGGTTGGATTTCTGAGCTCTCAGTGCACATTGCTGGGTCACATCCAGTTTTTCATCCACCAGTACTCCCAAGTCCCTCTCCTCCAAGCTGCTCTGAACCCATTCATCCCCAGCCTGTACTGATATTGGGGACTGCCCTGACCCCAATGTAGGACCTTGCACTTGGCCTTGTTGAATTTCATGAGGTTCACATGGGCCCACTCCTTCTGAATCAAGTGCACCCTTAGCCTGGTGTCATCTGCAGAATTTCTGGGGGTGGCTCAGAAATAATGACACTGTCTGTGTCATTATTAAAGATATTGAACAGTACTGGTCCCAGTAGGGATCCCCGAGGGACACCACTTGTTGACGATCCCCATTTGGACGCCAAGCCATTGACTGTAACTGGATCCCATCCAGCCACTTCGTTATCCATTGAACAGTCCATCCATCAAATCAATCTCTCTCCAAATTAGTGGTAAGAATGTTGTATGGGACCATGTCAAAGTCATTATGGAAGTCTAGGTAGCTGACAGGTAGCTTGCTTCTGGTAAAGTTCAAATGGCTCGTCCTGCCCTGCGATTCTCAAGGACATCAGAGGTCATACCAGCATTTCAGTTTGTGCCTGGCAGGATCCCACTTGCCTGGAGGCTCCCTGCAGGCAGAGGTCCAGCCTCACTGGCTCTGGGCTCTTTCCTGCCGCTGGGAAATGTCAGAGGATCAGCCCACAGTGGGGAAGGAGTTAAGTGCTTGACCAGCTGCTGTCTGTGAGGCACTGAATTCCTTCTCCGTGCAATGCAGCAGCCAGTGTCAGGACAGCTATATTTAGAGAGCTGATAAAGGTTTGGTGCCAACAGTTGTCCTGCCCCTCGATGAAGAAGCTGCAGAGAGAGCAAGAGGGGGCAGCTGATTGCTTTCTTCCCAGTGCCATTCCCTGCTGTCTTCAGTGGACTCTTTTGCCGTGCCCCCAGCAGGGACCCCCAGTGGAGTCGTCCAGGCGCAGGGGGTAAGTTCCCTTTCCTTGCTCCCCTGCCCCGTGGGTGGCAGCCGCTCCTCAGCCCCGCTGGTGGCACAGGGCTGTGATCCTCCTTCCCGAGGCTGGTGCTGGGGCCCTGTGGAGCTGCCGCCGGCTGTTGTGGCACAGCGGGGTGACAGTCCGTGTGTCTGGACACGAGGAAGTGTCGGCTGCGGCGTTTTCACACTCCTGCCTGAACTACATCCCCGTCGCTCTCCCACGCCCAGGGCGAGCGCGGCAGCCTCCACACAAAGGAGTGAAGGACAAAGTCCCAGGCCTGAAAGCGCCTTCGGCCTTAAGCTTGAGGAGCGTTTCGTTTTGGGGAGGTCTCATGTTTCTTTGCCCCTGACACTCCTTCCAGCCCGGCTCTGGCTCTGTACAGCTCCTTCCAGCCACCACGTGCGGTCAAGGGGGGGTATAGAGTTTCTGCCCCTCCACCCCTTCCTCCCTGGCCTTCCTGCACCCTTACTCACAGGCAAGGAGGGCACTGGTGCTCTCTGGGCAGCAGCCAGGGAGCTGCGTGAGGCCCTGGGAATGGCAGGCACCCTGGTGGAGGAGCCAGTGTAGGTGCCTCGTGGCCAGGGCTCCTCGCAGGGAGCCCCTTCTGCTGTACCCCCCATCCCTGCTGCCCCACAGCTGGGAATGGCCTCTGTAATGGTTCTCCCTCCTGCCCTGCTCCCCGTGCAGCGGATCCTCCGGCAGCCGCCATGGCCAGCAGCAGGGACTCGGACAGCGAGCCGGCGGTGCCTGAGGAGGAGGACGAGGGCCCAGACGTGAAGGCCGTGCAGGCCCATTACCTGCGCAGCCCCTCGCCCAGCCGGTGAGTACAGGACCACTGCCACGGCCTCCCAGGAGCACGTGGGAGACAGGGCTCCCGTGCTAGTTAATCCCACTGGCAGAGTACGTGCACACAGGGGGGACAAATTGCATTACTGTGGGGTGGTATCATCCCTCTTCCCTGTCTCGCCCTGTCATATCCATCCCCATGCTGAAACTTCTGATTCAATTTCAACTCTTCCCAAATCTTTCTGTCCATTATAAGGACTTGTGGTTTTTTTAATGTCGATATTAGGCTTTCCCAGCTCCAGAAAGACCAAGGGTCTTTGGATTTGGGTTTGGTTCAGAGCCAACTTTAGCTACAGGCTTCAGGCACTGAACAGGAGGCTGTCACAGCACAAGCAGAAATTGAGTTACCTCAAGCAAAACAAGCATGATTAGATGTGTTTTCTCCTAATACAAGGAAAAATACATCCCTTTGTACTCTTCCTAAAGCAAAATGCTCTGCAGGCCTTTCTGTAGCCTTTGAGATGCTTTATCTGAAAGCAAGGGGAAGGGATTGAGTTTGAAAAGAACCTGCCCCAGTGGCCCTGAACAAGTAGGAGATTATGAAATGTTTCCTGTTAACTGTGGGACACTGCAGAAAAATCAAGACAGAGTGCTTATTGCATTTAACTGCAAGCATTTCAGAATTGATGAGGAAGATCACTGAGCTAACATAAAGAAAAATTATGTATTCAACTTGGTAAATCCTTCTCCATCTGCTCATCACTCACTCAAAATGAACAGAAGCACCTCTCCAGTTTATTTCCCTTGCCTTGCCTTCCCTGTTCCTTTTTTTCTCCCCTTTTTCTCTCTGTCAATGATAAAAGCAGTGATGAAGTTGATAAGATCTATCCCATCCAGAACAAGGCCCTGGAAGCCTCCAGGATTGGGCTGTGCTGCACCCGTGTGTTTCACAGATGCTCGGGGCAACCACAGGTAAAATTTGTTGAGGCTGTGGTGGCAGGTTATTACCACTTGTTATGGTTTTATTGAGCTTGGAGGCAACCTTTACAGCAAAAGGAATTGAAGACAGGGCATAGCTACTAATTTGTGTCAGCTCCTGTAAATGAGACTGAGACTCCCCTTGCTCATCTCATAAACTCCTTTGAAGAACTAGAAAAGGATTACTTTCAGTCACGGTTGACAAGTGCTGGAACTCAACTAAATGACCTAGATGAGCCTGTTAAGTGGTTTCCAATGGCTGTGCCCTCTGTTTTGGTTCTGGAGCATGAAAGCAGTTCAGCTCTCCAGACACTGCCGCACCTTGACTGCATATTAATCACCCTTCCTCACCTGCCTTAATTAAACAAAAACAAACACTGTTGGAAGTACTGCAAGTCTGCATGACCAGAGAGCTTCTCTGATGGCAGCAAACTTGTCCTAATGACCTGTACCATCTATTTGGAAGGAAGTGTAGATGGTGTAGATCAGGGGAAAAGCTCTGTAAAATATTTTGTTAAGATGGTCTAAATGAGGGAAGATGTGCTTGGATTGTACAGGTGGACTCAAATGGAAAGATAGTTGTTTTCAAGATTGTGGCCCCTTTTTTGCTTAACAAAAACTTATGTGAATCACACTGTGTGTCAAAGAACTCCCTCCAAAGGTGCTTGTGGGTGTCATAATGGTTTCTGACCTGCAGTTGGACAACACAGATTGACTGAGCTGGTTAGAGCATGGTGCTAATAACACCAAAGTTTGATCCCTGTACAGGTCATTTACTTAACAGTGGGACTCCATGATCCTTGTGGGTCCCTTCCAACTCAGAATATTCTGTGAAATCTGTGAAACACTGTGTGAGTGGAGAGACTGACCACAGATTCATGCTATGAAGTGACCAACGTGCTGAGGGAGAGAGTCACGGGCTTCACTCTCAGTGCTTGCATTGCAGCTTGTGGTAACTCAGAGGATGCTTGTGGGTGATTTGCCAGCAGAGAGAAAACCCAACACCCTGGTGTAATCTGGTGTTTCGAATTGTTCAATAAATTCTAGTTAGGACAATGTTTTTATCTGTCTGTCTAAGTGAGAGCTACTTGTGAGACTGCTCCTTGTGATCCATCCCCCTCCCAGTCTCAACCCAGACGCTGATCTTCTCCACCCGAAAAACTTCTCCACCAGGCAATTGTTTTGCACTCCCAGTCCATGAAGCTTCTCTCCATGAGACCTGTCTACATCCTGCAAACACTGGATACCAAGGGCATATTTAAAGTCTGTAGTGCCATGCTGGAGAGCAGGGTGGGAATGAGGGGTGGGAGAAGAGCTGGGGCTTCCCTTCTGCAATTAAAAGATCCTCTGTGCTCCAGTTCCCTGCTGCTCCCCTCTGGAATGGGTGCAAAGGGGGTCCTGGGGGTAGGATCCCAGTGGAGGGCATTGCCTAATAGGCAGTGTGGTTGGTTGGCAGGTATTCCATGATATCAGACACTGATACAGAGAGCATCTTCATGGAGCCAATCCATCTGTCATCTGCTGTGGCTGCCAAGCAAATAATCAATGAAGGTAAGAGGAGCAAGGATAAGAGAGCTGTGTAAGTAATAGAGACCTGAGTTGCACTAGTTTTGCCTTTTGTCATCCAGAGACCCTAAAATGATAAAAAAGCCTTTATGATAGAACCCTACCTGAGGTAGAGGTGAAAAATCACAAAGAAATAACAATTTACAGAAAGGTTTGGTGACTTCCTTTGAAGTTGTGCAATGAATCTGTGGTACAATGAATTATGTACCACAATGGTTGAATGTAGTTTGAGTGCTGGTTGCTCACTGCAACAAACTGAATTTAGAATAGAATAGAATAGAATAGAATAGAATAGAATAGAATAGAATAGAATAGAATAGGAGTATTTCAGTTGTAAGGGACAAACAATGATCATCTGAGTTCAGCTATCTAACCAAAAGTTAAAGCATATTATTAAGGGCATTGTTTTACTCCTCTTAAACACTGACAGGGCTGGGGCATCAACCATCTCTCTAGAAAGCCTGTTCCAGTGTTTGACCTCCCTCTCCGTGAAGAAATGCGTCCCAGTGTCTTAACCTCCCCAGTGCAGCTTTGAACCCTTCCCACCTGTCTGATCACTGGATACCAGGAAGAAGAGCTCAGCAGCTCCCTCTCTACTTCCCCTCTTCAGGGAGGTGTAGAGAGCAGCTGCATTCTTCTGGGGCTGGGATAAGGATGCCCTTAACTCCCAGGCCTTTGGCCAGTGTGGGTCTCTGGACTGAGAAGGCAGTGCCATGTGCTCTTCCCAGAAGCAGGTGCTGCACACATTGCAGACAGAACAGTGTGATGGTTCTGGGGGGAAAAAGAAAGTCAGAAGGCCTGTCCCAGACACAATTAATGACAGGTCATATGTTTGCGTTGTTTTTACATGCTTTGAGTTACAATGTCAGTTTATTCCAGAACTGAAGACAAAGGAGGTCAGGGTAGATTCAGTGTGTCCCAGGATGTTGGAGTCTGCGCAGCAGCTGATGGTGGAAGACCTGTACAACCGAGTTAAGGAAAAGATTGATGACACCAGCTTGTTTAACACGCCGTGTGTGATGGACTTGCAGAGGGCACTCGTGAAGGACAGGCTGGAGACCCCCAGGGATGCTGTGGATGAAGTCTGGCCTAATGTCTTCATAGCAGAAAAGTGAGTGTCGGCTTTTGCCATCGAGTTGCGTGAGATTCCCAGTGAAGGGTCAAATGGAACCATCGAAGGCATAACATGTATTACATGTATCTAATACCTTCCATCCCTAGAGAGCCCCAAAGTGTTTTTCAGACTGTGCTCGTAGAAATCTCTATGCACTGAAAAGTAAATACTTCTGGAATAGAATCAGCAGCTTTCCTGTGCTATTTTGATGCTTCAGCAGTTTAGGAGAGGAAAAGGCAAATGAGCCCAAATTCCACTGTTCTGATTGGAATTTGGCCCTGAAATTGGAACTGAAGTCATTATTATGTCAAAGAGAGTTAAAAAAGAAATGCCATAGCATGTGTCAAGTGGAGATGATTAGGACTTCTGTACCGTGGTTCAGCTGTCCGAGACACCTGTGTTAGTGACCAGACAGAATTAGAAGTGGATATAATGTAAAGCATCAGTTATGGAGGGATAAAAGTGGATAAATAAGTACACAGCCTGAACCCAGGATGGCAGCATGAGTTTCAAATCAAGCTGTAGTGGAAATGGAGCATATGGCTCTACGGGTGAATGCAGGTTTCTCATTGTCTTTTTCCAGTGAGTACTGGAAATACCTGTAGGACTCTCACAGGACATTAAGGTCTGAGTGGAGCCACATGTTGGATGAGTAACACGGATGGGGAGTTCTGTAGACTTTGTAGCAGGCATCTCCTCTCCTACCCACCAAGGGAGCACTGGTACCTCACATCTCTTTTTCTTTCTTGAAGAAGCGTCGCAGTGAACAAAAGCCGTTTGAAGAGACTGGGCATCACACACGTCTTGAATGCAGCTCATGGTACGGGGGTCTACACAGGACCAAGCTTCTACAACGGTCTCAATATCCAGTACCTGGGCATTGAGGTGGATGATTTCCCAGATCTGGATATCTCCAAACACTTCCGCCCGGCTGCGGAGTTCCTTGACGAAGCACTGCTGACTTACAGGGGTAAGGGGAAAAGGTTGCAGTGTTTCCAAAATGATTGGGAATTATGGAAGTGTTACTCTGATAAACAGCTGATGCCACGTTTGCAGTGGGGTAGAAAGAAGGCAGAACCTTCATTCCCTGCATGCAGCACCAGTGACCACTTGTTCCCCATCCTGCCGTGCCTCATTCAAAACAGGAGGGAGCAAACTAGTAAGGGGAGGGAGCCCAACAGCTCCTGCTGGAAGCCCCGTGTCTTCAAACTCAAAGTGGCTGCAAGTCACCTCCCTCAGCTGCTTTGAAAGAACCCTGATACAGCAAAGAGCAGAAGTCCTGCTCTGATACATATTTTTTAATATTGATGTAATACTATGTATATATAGTTGTATTTCTGTACCCTGCAAGCTTCAGTTTTGCCATGATGCAAAAACCAGGCTGATTTACTAGAACAATCCAAACAGCTGAGCTGAACCTTTGGATGTCTGTCTAATTTGCTGGACTCCAACTCCAGGGCAGCTGTTATTCTGTGGACCTCCAGTGCACACTGGTCATTCTGCTGCAGCTTCAGTGGACAGCTAGAAATACCTTTATGCAGTTCAATATGGAAATGAACACCATGATCAGTGATATTACTGATATTATTTATATATTTAGTCAATTAATTTAATTATTGTAGAGAGACAACAGATTACCTCCCAGCAGAAGTGACAGTAAGACAAGTTTTGTTAGCACGCAAGGAAAGCTGAGACAGTTTTAACAGCTCAGCACCACGAGGTGGGACACTACCTATCTGTGTTCTTCCTCACAACTCCCATTACTACCCTTGGCATAGTCCAGGTGCTTACTGCTGCTGCCATTCATCGACCCTTCAACTCACTACCCAGCAAAAATGACAGCCCAGCGGGGGAGAGAAGGTTTTCCCCTGGGCTGGTGATCTGAACTGGCTCGTTAAAGGGCCAGGAGCAGAGTAGCAGAACCGACACGGGAAAGGGTGCACCGAGGCACAGGAGCCTTGAAAGGAAAGAGAGGAAGGAGATCTCCCCCTGTCGGTGAACTGTTAGATTGGCTTTACTGCCTGGTAAAGTACTTGGAAGGCAACCAAGACTTCTGGTGCTAAGAAAGGCGTAAAAGACATTTCAGGATTGTAGGAAGAGGTTCATTAGGTAAACACTTGGGGTAACATAGCAGCAGTCAGAAAGGTGGTGTTTAAACTGGCTCCATGAAGTTTCAGTGCAAACAATTTGATTAAAGTGGGGTTTATCACACATTTAGAAACAGTAATTTCAGTTATTTGTAAGTTGGCAAAGCCTCATTTACACTCTTCATATTTCCAAGCTTTTCTTTAGCCGTAATTTGCTATAAAAGTAACTTTAACGTTTTTCGGTGTCAAAGTGTGGTTTTCTGCAAGAGGTAGTAAATGCCATGAAATAAAGCAGATCTTCAGTTTTCATTCTTGCTCTTACTGTTACAGGATAGTGGGTCCCAGTAGTTTGAAGCAGCTGTTTCAGTTTGTCAGAGTCAAAATCAGCTCTTTCCTGCCAGTTGCTTGGTTCTCCTCTTCTAAGATATGCCATGACTTTGGCTTCCTACATGTAACCATTTGAGGGTACCTTGCCAAACTGATCTGGATTCTGGCAAAAAACCAATCAAATTAATATAAAATTGTATTTAAGCCCCATAATGTGCCTTATGAAAAACTAAATTATTCTCTTATCTTCCCAATACCTTCCTGGAGGCTAATGCTAATATCTCCCTTTTTACGTATTGAGAAACAAGCTTGGAAGGCTTTAATGTCTGACCCTATATCAGGCAGCAAGTCAAGAACACTGTATTGCTTGTCTTTCTAATAGCTGTTATAAGCTTTTTGACTATTTGAGTAAGTGAAGTGTGTAGGCAAAACTACAAATATTATTTAGCTTGTTTTGAAATGTGCCTGCCCACAGCTTTTGAAACTAATGTGCTTTTTATTCATATTTTATTAAGGTAAAGCTATGAAATATTTAGTATTGGTTTCAGTCACTAAAACATATAATCTGTCTAATTTTTAACACCATTCAGAGAATGCTTTTGTGCTCCATATCAGAGCGTATGTACCACGTATCTGTGACTGGAAATAGCTGAACACTTTCCTGTTTGACATCTGTAGGCAGAGTCCTGGTCAGCAGTGAGATGGGCATCAGTCGCTCTGCCGTGCTGGTGGCTGCCTACCTGATGATCTACCACCACATGACCATTCTGGAGGCTCTGATGACTCTGAGGAAGAAACGAGCCATTTACCCCAACGACGGCTTCCTGAAACAGCTACGGGAGCTCAACGAGCAGCTGCTGGAGGAGCGGGAGCTGGAGCACTCTGGAGACGAAGAAGTGACTCCTAGTCAAAGTCCTGTGGCCCGTGCAGGGACTTCTTCCCGTTTGTCTGGAGCTGGGGACGCAGAGAGCGTCGTGGGAGCCCGAGCCCACTCCATCACAGTGGAAGAGGAGGACACGAGCAGCATGCTGGGTAGTTTTATGAGCTCTTCGTCAGTGTCAAAAACCAGCTGGGTTTCCAAACGCTCCACCCTGATCAGCGAAGAGGAAGAGGAACAGTTGTATGAGGAATGGAGGAAGAAACAAGGCCTGTCTGCAAAGGAACCAGGAGTTAACCATGAAAGAAGAGCATCTCCAAAGCATCTGGATCGGGAAGAGGAACAATCTGATGAGGATGTGGAACAGAGGATCCATGACTGGCAGCGCAGAAATGAGAAATACCAAATGGAGGGTGCAGCCAGGGAGGAGGATGGTGATTCCAGCATGGGAGGAAGACCTTACCCACCAGGTGAATTCAGTGATGTTGAGAGTGTGAGCAGTTTTGAGATCCGAACCCTGAAAAAGCAGCTGGAAGCCAGTAGCTTTAGCAGGATGAGGAGGAGTCGCACAGACTCTGTGTCTTCTGAGAGCACGTGGGACATGTGGAATCAGAGACTTCTGGAGATAGAGAGGGAAGCTGCTCAGAGATACCATTCCAAGAATAAAAATTGTGGGGAAATGGGAAGAAAGGAGAGGGATGTGGATGAGGAGAGCGTGCTTTCAGACAGTAGCTCCTTCTACAATTTCTGCCAAAAGAACAAAGACAAGTTGACTCCTCTAGAAAGGTGGAAGGTCAAGAGGATCCAGTTTGGCTTTCACAAGAAGGATTTAGAACCATCATCATCAGCTGCACCATCTCCAGCAGAAGATGGCAACCAGGCAGGTGAGGAGGGAGCAGAAGGGAAGAGTTTGTCAGATATTGACCTGACTGCTTACCAGGCTTGGAAAATGAAGCGGCAGAAGAAGGTGGGCAGTGAAAGCAGCAAGGAGGAATTTGTGGAATTTGCCAAAACCGAGGATTCTGCTTCAGCTAAAAAGAGGCAGAGGCGTGTAGAGCTCCTCGAACGTTCAAAGAAAATTTTAGAGGAAAGCCAGTCCATGTGCAGCTGGGAGACAGACAGCACGATGAGTGGGAGTATCCCCCTGTCGGCTTTCTGGCCCTCGGCGCCTTCTGCAGATGGTGCCGAGGATGCAGCTTCTGCCCTGAGCATGCAGACAAATCATTCATCTCTGTCACGGACCAGGAGCAGCACGGGAGCAATGCAGCCTCAGATGCCGAGTGTACCCCTTCCCAACCTCCCGGTTGGTCCGGGTGACACCATATCCATGGCAAGCATTCAGAACTGGATCGCTAACGTGGTCAGCGAAACCATCGCTCAGAAGCAAAACGAGATCATGATGCTGTCCCGTCCGTCGTCCGCGATGGCCTCCCTGTCAGGAGACCTGGGCAGGCGAGGAGATGATGACAGGGTTTCTCTGCTCAGTGCTCAGAGCGGCTCATCTGTGGCTGCCTCTCAGCTGCGCCAGCAGGAGCTGCGCCGGGCCGAGTCTCAGTCTGTCCTGTCCTGCAACACCTCCGTGAGCGCAAGGACAGAAGGGACTGCTTCAAACATGAAGACAACACAAACGAGCAAGCCACTGTACAGCCTCTTTGCTGATGATGTTGACCTCAAGAAACTCAGGAGGAAGGAGAAGGAGATGCAAATGGAAATGAGAGAAAAAATGTCAGATTATCAAATTGAAAAGGTGATCAGAGACAATAAACGCAGCACTTTATTTAAGAAAAAGGTGACCAAAGGAGAGGAAAATGAAAGGGAGAATGGCATAGAGAGTACAACAAACAGCCATGGGCGTCCCTTGCAAGCAGATTTTGACAGCACTGGTACAGTCTTCGATCTGTCCGGTCAACCTGCAAACTCAGGTGCACCAGAGTCAGAAATAGAGACTGATATTAGCAAGTGGCTCAATGGCCTGAAAGCAGAGAGAGAACCACCATCTTATTATGAACAAACTGAGAAAGCTAGAGAGAAATATAGCAGATCATCCAAAGTTAGACAGATGGATTCTGAGACATCCAGTTACAGATTCTGCAGGTCCCAAAGAGAAGAGGTAGACAGCTGTTCTTCCTACGAGTCGAAAGGAGATTCACTGAGAACCACGTCAAGATTTTCCTCTGCTTCTGCGAAAGAGGACAAAAAGATGTACAAGTTCACAAGGTCGAGGGTCAGTGAGACAAGTTCCAGAGAAAACAGCCCAGAGCCGCATGTTTTCAGCCGATCTCCTGAGCCGCCCTTTGACTCTGAATCCCCTGAACCGTCTACACAGAGCCGAGTCAGATCCCATCATGTGGAGGCGTGTGAAGAGGAGGCCAGGTCAGACGTGTCAGAATTTGGGGCAAAGAGAAAGTTCACCCAGAGCTTTTCAAAGTCCGAAGAGGATGGAAAGAAGGAGGCAAAAGTGGAGCAAAGTGAAGAAAGGTTTGCATCTAGACAGCGCTTTCAGTACAGGCGAAGCACACGTAAAGAGGAGGAAGAAGAGATGGATGATGATGCCATTATTGCTGCTTGGAGAAGCCGACTGGAAGAAACTACAGCAAAGCTCCAGCGGAGAAGGGAAGAGTGACCAAGATCAGACTACAGGAGCACAAGCAGAGCCCGAGTCCCTGAATCACTCACTCATCATTATATTTTTGATAATCCTTTGTGGTTTGTAGGGCATTTCCTGCAGATAGTTCTCTTCTTAATCAAAAGCGATGAAGGGAAGAGGTCAAGTTCTGCAAGTGTTTGTGGCTTGTCAGAAAGAAGATGCTAGAATTAAATGATCAATGTAGGTAGGAACACAATGTTAGAAGCCATTAGGAGCCAGACAATGTTTCAGCAGCAAAAGCAAGTAACGGTGGCACCTCAAGTCAAAAGACCAATCACATCCCGTTTTGGTTATTTCAATTTCCTAGTGTTGTTAAAAACTGGACATATTTTTTTTCTCGGATCTTTTTGATCATAAGTGGAAGAAGCCAACAGCCTTTTCTCGGAACTTGAAGAATGTTTCTCTCTTAATCAGCTTTACTTTATACCACTGAGAAGATATTACCAGGTAGGCTCCATTTTCTGCACCAGCCTTATGAATGTCTACAGAAATCAGACAGTTCGGGGAAATACATGTTCTGTTTTACTTTGCTAAGTAGCAGAAGCAAAGTAAAATACTAGGAAAAAGAAGATGTCTCCTTTTTAGAAGTTCCATGCAGTAATGAATGTATTCCTGTGGTACTATTTTTTCTATTTTCTATTAGATAGAGTCATCTCTGCTCCATTATGGTTGGTTCCTGCTAATAACTTTGGGTCAACAAAGGACAAATGCATCAATATTAACAGCCATCTGAAAATCATGTTTTGATGTAGTTAAAGAGATGGGGTTGGGGCTAGGATTAGTGTTAGGTTAGGCTGGGTTTCTCAGTACTGACTTCACTTTGGTTTATGTATGCAGCTCAGCTAAGTCCGTGCTTTCGTGTTCGTAGTCAGATTGTCATGTATTAATTTTCAGCATGATTGCCTTAAAAGAGAAGAGTGGTACACAAACTGACCTCGAAATAAAATTGTATATAACTGGAGCATGGGTATAAGGCAGCATGCACCAGCTGTGTGTCTGTGCAGGTGGTAGCTCGATTTAAGAGGTGGTAGGTCTGGCTGGCACGTTCAGTTAACGTGTATCCTGAGCCACAGGATACACTTTTCAGAGGGAGAGGAGGAAGTGCAGTCTCCACGTTAACTGAGTGCACCAGGTTAGGAGGCTGAGGTCCTTCCATGCCCTGCAGAGCCTGGTGAGCTTGTTTGATCCGCCAGACCTGCCACAACATCCCCTGTGTGGCTTGTGTGACAACGTGTCTTTGACGCACCAAAGCACCCAACTCTCTGTCACCAGTCAACGTCCTCCACCTCTCTCTTGTAAACACATAGGCCAGTTTCTACTGACTTTGACTCTGGAATTATCTGTTCCCTCCTCTGTACAGACTGTATTTTGAAACAACAAAGCCCTCTGGCAGAGCTGAATATAAAACGACAATGGAGGGATGATGCGGTAGTGCTCTCTCACAGGAAGTTTTTCTTTTTCTTGTAATCTCCTCTCCCTCCCACTGTGATGCTTAGAGCTCACTATTACTATTATGCTAGTCCCTCTCCCTATTTTAATTGTGTAATACAGACAGCAAGCTCCACAGGGCAAGGGCCTGCTCTTTGTCCCTGTCTGTGTGACGCTGCCGCACATCAGCAACGCTATCTAAATAATGGTTACTGATAACAAAATGCAGCTGGCAATCTTCCTAAACTTAGAATCATTTCTCTCAACTATAACTCACTGATTAGACATTATCCCTGCTTCTCTGAAGATAAAGATGATTCTTTCTGACAGCCAGGACTGGGGTAAATGATAGCTACTTATTGTCAGGTAAATGGAGCCTCAGAATCAGGTGATTGAACAGTAACAGTTGTAGAAAAATAAGAGAAAGAACACGTTTTAGTTGTGTGGGTTGCTTTCTTGGTTTTGGTTGGTTTTTTTTTTTTAGTAAACTCAGATTACATTTTGAAGTGCATAAGAGGCATGGTCTTGTTAATGTTTCAGGCACGCAGAGATGCTCTGAGGTTTATAATGCGCTTCTACTACAATATAATATATAATACAATGCATCCCTTTTTTCTGCATACCTCTGTGAGTTGTTATTTTTTAAAGTAGTGGAATTCCAGGCCTTGATCCACACTCTGAGATTTTATATTAGATTTCTGGAATTTGTGTTAGGATAGGTGCTTTCCTCTTCATCCCTGGTAAAGTTGCTCTGTGGAAAACAGCCCTGCATAGACGTATTTGGAGCTTGCTTTCATTTCAGTCTAGAAAAGGTCTTAAATTTCGATGGATCAAAGTGGAAGTGTGCCTTCAGTACCTTCTGGCACTGAATTTACTTTTTTATCAAAGGCTGATTCCCTCTGAAAAATCCCTCTCCCTGTTCCTGTGCCTGGCTGTTCCCAGCAGACAAGCCTGTCCTCCGCAGTACTGTAGGGGGCATCTCGCGCTGCAAAAGAGGAGCAGTGGATGATGTGGTAATTGGTTTCATTTTGCACTGTACAGCACGGCCTTTGTTTGGGCAGCATTTTGATTTAAACACTAATCTAGGTCTGCTGCACAAATAAATTATTCAAGACCGAGGGGCAGAATATGGTTCTATAACAAGTCTGAGCCACACCGTCCTGATAGCGAGTTTTGACCCTTGTGAGAAAGGGTTAAGTGGGTTCTGCTGACTCATTGAGGTAGGTGGCTTATTAGTTCACTTGTGTAAAAGGGAGATAAAAATGGTTTGCTGGGGAGAGGCCATCTAAGATGCTGGCTGAGCAGTCATGAGGGAGAAGCCTTAGAAATAGCTGAACTTTATTTTCTTATTGCTTATATCCTTGTTAATAAAGCCAAACCCCCAAAGCAATAAGGGGGTGGGGATCATTTTGGACTCCATGCAGCATTCGGCCAGTGCTTGAAAGCAAGATGGGAAAGGCTCCAGCTCACAGGTATAAATTACATGAAACACTGACATAAAGACCTTGCATGGTGAAAATATTAAAGCATTCAGTCATAAGACCAATAACCAGGAGAGACAGAAATGGAGAGGTTGAAGGCAGGCTAGAAAGTCAGGTTTTAAGATGAGAATTTAGAAGGAGATAAGGAATTGCAGAAAGGGGAGAGGTCTGCACAGATTGTTTCAGGTGACCAGAGCTGCAGAGTGAATGGTTTTTCAGCAATGACACCAGTCTGACACTAGATTAAAAGAGTAAATAAGTACCCAAATTCATCTAGGAGGGATTTTTCAGCAAAGATGCGCTGGGACTGATATTTTTGCTCAGACTCAATTTGCTGCTGTAGGAAGGAGGGTGTTTTTTTGGCACTGTATAGTGGAAGGTGAAAGTGCAAGGAGCATCCATACGGTCAGTGAAGAATATAAACACAGGAACATCAGAAAGGCTGTATGGGGTCAGACCAGAGGTCCACCTGGCTCAATATCCTGTCTCTGGCAGAGAACAACAGTGAATACCTAGGGAAGAATATAAGAGCAGTGATATAAGTGATATTTCCCCAGCATGGTCTTCCAGCTTCTAATAATTTGCAACTCAAGGACTTCCTGAGCCAGGTGTGATATTCTTGTATTTAATAGCCCTTAATAGATTTTCCTTGTATGGAGGTGCCTAGTAATTTCTGAGTTATAGCCGTAATAGCCTTGTACCCACTAACCTCTGTAATCTCCTGTCGCAAGAAGTCCCACAAGTTACTCTACATGGAATGCTAAACCATCTCCTTTTTTTCTGTTCTGAACCCTCTGCCCACTGGCCTTTAATGCCAATATAGTATCTGTTTAGTATCTACATGTGCCATGAGATTTTACCCCCTCTCTGTCATTAAATCCCATCCTTAGCTCTCTGGTTCTCAGCCAGAGTTACTCATTCCTCATACAGGGGCTGCTCCATGTCTCTCATTATCCTGGCCATTCTTCTCCAAACCCTTTCTAGTTCTTCTTTGTCATGCTTGAGATGAGGGACCAAATCCTCACACAGTATCCAGGGTGCAGGTGTGGGAGGGATTAATCCTAGGGCATAATGACCTTCTTTTTTCTGTTCTCTGTTCCTTCCCTATTAACTCCTAACAGTTTGCATGTTTCTTTGGCTGTTGCTGGGCACCACAGTGATATTTTCATAGAACTATTTATTATATACACAAAATCTTATTGTTGGATGGCAATGGTCAGCTCCAAGATCATCATTTTTTGTGTCAGGTTTTCTTACATGTAATGCTTTACATTTATTAGCCCTGAATTTCATCTGCCATCTTAGTGCTCAGTCTCTCAGTCTCATTAAGTCCTTCTGCGTTTTCCCACAGCCACCCTCTTATTTCCACTACTCTGTTTCCTTAATGTCCTTTGAGTGGTGTAGAAACTCAGAGGATATGGGAAGCAAAGAAGTTAAGGAGGGATAGATGAGAGAGAAACACATTTGATGCTGGTCTGCTTGAAGTAAGAAATAAGAAAGTGATGAAAGCTGGAGAGCAAGGAGATAAATGTTCAAAAAGAGATCTGAAGACAATAGGCAAATTGAGAAGGGGACCCACACTGGATGGAGACAGGAAGATGTAAGCCAGAAAGGCTAAAGCAAAATATTAATTCGTTTAGATGTATAAAAATCCAGGGAAAGGCTATGAGGCAATCTCTGTGGGAAGGATGGAGATTTAAAGATTTCTCACAGGTCTGTGAGAAATGCGAAGAGGATTGGGAGAAATGGCAAGGGTGAGAGACATTAGTGGGACACAGATGATAAAATGACATCTGTGCTGGATTGGGACTTCAATGTAGCAGGAGCAAGTTTGGCAGGAAGCGGAAATGTGCCAGAAACACGTTATTCCTCCTGGATCAGCCGCATCCTGTGTCCTGATCCTGAGAGGTGTGGGGCCATGGCCCATTTCCCCCATCCAGGAATTTCAGGGCAATGTGATTTATTGCGTGCAGCACCAGCTTAGACTGGATAATTTGAAAAGGAGTTTAGCACCATTTCCTTCCTTTACAGCTCCTTGAGAAATGGGTACACGTTAGCTGTGGTGGAGAGCCGGGCGAATGGTGAGACAAAAAGTTTTATTTGGGGCTGCCTGTGTTGCATTGCCTGCCCTTCCTTAAAGGGTTTAGCTGGGGTGCATTCACTATGGACATTATAATGTGAAAACACAATATCCATGACCTCCCTAAATTTATAGACAATCCAACAGAGATACTGAAAGCATGTGATTAGTGTAGTTGAGGGCTTGGAAACAGACACTGTGTGCTCATGTACTCCAGCAAAATATCTTTGAGTGCTACCTGCCTATTCTCTGGAATTTCACTTGTCATTTAGAAAAATGAAAGTGGGTCAAATCTCTCTCTGTTCTAATTGTGAAGAAAACTTCCAAAATGGGAACTATGTATAACAAATAAACAGTTCTCTGGAGAGGTGGGAGCGTAGCTCTAAAAGGTGTGTGAAGTGCCCCAGTCATCTCAGCAAGGTGCTGACTTATTTGCCCAGGAGTAGTAATTTAAATGCCAATAATATTTGTTACGTTGTTCTTCATGTAAAAAATTGAGAAAGATTCAAAG